TGACTAATACATTGCATATCGTTGAAAGAAAATTATTTTTCTCTAATTTGCATTTGCTTGGGGGAAAAAAAAAAGCCAACCAGAGTCCCTCCTCACAAGCACGAGTCTAATCCTGGAAATACAGCCCGGCTGCTTTAAGAGAGCTGGAAGGAGGGAAAGACTGCCAGTGTTTTGGCGTTGCAGGCTTGTTTATCTTTCCGCCTTTCCTCCAAGGCGAAACTCGTTTTGCAAGCAACATTCCTACAGAAAATGGCACACGTCATAAAAAGAGACCAATTTATAGAACTGGCACCGAAGTTCATGTATCATTCCAGAAGTATCTCCCAGCTCCCCACTAGGGAACCCAACTAGATGTAGAAGTCCACATTGTAACTCCAAGCGGGGGGTGGGGGGGGGTAGGTTTGGAGGTGGGGGGGGGTGAAATCATCATTTGCAGATATCCTGAAAGCTATACACCCAAAGTCACACAGAAGGGCAGGATATAGAATTAAGTCAGTTCTGAATGATCCTCCAGAGCCCCAAGACTTCAACCTTGAGGCTGGGGTGGGGAGGAGCGTTTTTTATACTCAGCTGGCCCCAGGACAGCCCAGGGGCAGGCCCAGCCTCCTGACCATCCATGCCCCTTGCCAGCTTGGGCTCCAGAACCAGCCCCTAGCGGGGCGGGGGGTCGGGGGGAGAGATGGCCGCCACCCACCAACTGTTCTGCCTCCCACCCTGGCGCCTCCCCGCACTGCCTGGCAGAGGACCAGGAACTCAGAGAAGGCCTGTGGCTGTGGGCATCTATCTAGTTGATTAAGTCACAGAGTGGGTGGTGCTGTGGGCAGACCTGAAGACAGGGGCGTCCTGCAGCTTAGAGGCAAGTGCACTCTTAAAACACAGGAGAAGGCAAAGGGACGTGGGTAATCCAAAGCTTTGGGTCCTGAACCTACACACACTGGTGTTGCCAATCCAGGAAACAGGGCCCAGTGCATAGAACACAGCAGCCGCCTGTCTCTCGAACTTGTCTGAATAACAGGGCCATTTCAGAGGAAGAACAACGGCCTTCAGAGCCTCTGCAATTTCCAGAAAGCCTTCAGTTAATAATACATTCTTTCCAACAGGCTTGCTTTAGGGCGGAAGGTTATTTTCCCAAATCTTAACAACCCGGTCACAAGCCGCTGAGGCCCCAGGCCCCAGGCAACCCCTCCAGACAGCTGACACTCATGACCCTTCGGGCCTTCTCCTGCCACCTCTGCCTAACAAGTTCCCTAAACCACAAAACGCCAACCAGTGCGCCCCCGTCCACCCAGGTCCCGGGAGCCAGAGGGCCATGTGTCCGCGGGGTGGGGATGGGGCGCCGCCGCCGAGGCCTGTCTCGCCTTGCATCCGAGGACGCCCCGGCCAGCAAGTGGCGGCCACCTCTGCGGCTTTCCGTGGGCCTGCATAGTGCGCGCTTTGTGTGAGCGCCGGGGAGGCACAGCGCTGCCCCTGCACCAACAGCTGTCACATTATTTGCACTCGCTGTAAACAGCCTTCACATTCCCCCCTTACCACATAGTTAAAGCCAGACTAACAATCCACAGTTAGAGATCAAACCAACAACAGCAGTATTGTGTCTGCCTTCGCACCAAGCCCAGCAGCTGGCAGGTTTCTCCGGAACAAGGGGGACCCCCCCCTTCCCCCCAACCCCTCCGGGCTCCAGCCCAGGCCGGCCAAGGCAGTGCTGCGTGTGTCGCTGCTGATTGTTAAAGCAAGAGAACACAGCCATTTCGAGCCGAGTTCGGTGGGGTTCACCGGCTCTCTCTCAGAGTTTCCTCCGCCAGCTAGTGGCTCGGGGCAGCCCCCCCCTCCCCCATCTCCTCCGCTGGGACTAAAGGTTGTTCAGACTCCCAGATTCTGCTCAGCAAAGCGTGGGCCAGCTTGGGGTCCCGCAGCCCTCTCTACCGTGTCCCAGAGAAAAGGCAGCTTGGCCCCGTCTGCAGCTCACAGCCCCCTTGTGTTTCTGGAAAACTGTCCAAGCCCCTGAATCCTGACTGGTCGCCCCACTGATCAGAATGTCTCCTTTATGATTTTTGGTTAAGTCGAACATTTCCATAATCGTCATTATTAGCGCAAATTACACGCCTAATCGGTCCTTAAATAGATTTTAATTAAATAATCATACAAGGCTCATTTTATGACTTAAGAAAGGCATTACTTTTCGTTATAAACTTTCTACCAGGATATAGAATAAGGATAGCAGACAAACACTTAGTCTGTGAAAAGCACCAATAACTGATGGGCATCGTACTGGGAGGGCAGACCCGGCCTCACACCTGGAATCAAAGTGCAGACTAGACACACCACATATGCCCAACTTTCCTCCTCCAAAGCATGACTCTGTCTTCTCTTTGGGGCCAGATGAAAGGAACCCCAAATGCTCTTTTTGTCCCTGCCCGTCTAGAGCCCACTCCTCACCACCCCCATCTGTTTTCCACCCCTCGGTCCGCTGAGAGCCACGGTGGAAAGCAGGCAGGCTGTGCTTGTTAAATGCTGTGTAAAATGCTGTTAATAAAATAATAAATACAAAGGATGGAGGCTGCTGGTTCCATGGGTGTTTTGACTGGAAATGCCTTGGCACTTGTCATGTGTTTATGGGAGGGCAGACAACTCGAGGATTTACATAGTTTGGACATTTCTGTACTTCATTTATTCTTTCTTAAATGACGTAGGCCTAGAGCTATTTCAAGTTTGCCTTTGTACAGAACTGTTAAATGCCTAAGAGTTTCTCCAATTAAACCAAGTTTTAAATCAGACCCAAGGCTGGAACGGACTGACTCGCCCCACTCCACCCCTCAGCCCGAGGCTGGGGAAAACAAACAGACCCTCCACAACAATCCCCTGGCCTTGCTCTCCCCACCTTCATCACTTACCCACCTCCACGGAGGGGGTGGGGGGCGGTGCACCTAAGGGTAAAGGTTAAGTTGTCTTCAGAATTACAGGCAAGCCCCTGGCTACACACTCTGGAAAGCACTGTAGTTGGGCACATCCTGGCCATACTCTAACCTCTAAAATAGTGAGCTAAGATGGGGGGAAAACTGCTGGCCTGGTAAAACCCACTGTTCGCAAAACAATGTCAGCAAAGGCTGGGAGGCATTCTTTAGAGAGGGACCAGGGATTCATGCCTACTGAAGCTCTTTCAGCACAAAGGCTTTTAGGGGAAGAAGGGAAAAGGGGGGGTGGCTGGGGGTGGGGGAGAGAAAGGGAGGGCTCCTGTTTCAGAGCAGGCATCCCCAGAGAGTCAAGAACCAAGTGTAGCTTCAATCAAACGCTGACTTCCCCTCTGGGAGTCGAGTAGGAAACCTGATCACAGTAGCTTACTACCGGCCTGGATCCATACAGGTCTGGTTTTCTTCTCATGCTAGTAATTTTTTTAAATACATATCGATATAAAAGAAGCAATCCCTGGCAGACTTTATTGAAAACCACACTGAGACCTCATAACATCCGGACTTAATCCCTATCAAACAAACCACAGCACCTCTGGCCTCTACAGCAGGCCAGATCCTCTCACCTCTTCCCACCAGGTCTCTCGTCCAGCTGTTGCTGTTCCCTCCCCCAAAAAAATGAGGGGGAGGACTAGCCAAAGAGCACCTAGATACTGGTTCTGGAATCAATTCCTAACCAAAAAATGATCCCACTAGGGTGGGGGGGGGGAGAGAAAAAAAAAACCCAGCCTTTTCATATGGAATCCTTTAAAGCCCAGAATGTAAAGAACTGTAACAAAGGGAAAGAGGAACCCACCAAGGCAGACCTGGAGAAAAAGCCTCAGGAACACCCTTGGAGGGGAGCTTAACCTGCAGGTTGGTCCCCTCCAAGGATGGCCTAAGCAGGTGGGGGGGGGGGGTTGTCCTCAGGGGCTGGAGGAAATGGAGAAGCAACCTATAGGAACCTGACCAGTCATTCAAAGCAATTACTAATCCTCAGGGCCTACTACGTGCCCAGTAGTCTTCTTTGATCCTAAAGGTGGATAATTATTCCCAGTCTTACAAATGAAGAAACTTACTGAGGCTCAGAGGCCATAAATAACTTGCCCCCAAGGTCACACAGCTAGTAAAAATGGGCCACGGTCAAACTCAGTCCTGGAGTTGCGGAGAGGAGCCAAGTATTGGTCAAACCATGCCATTCGGAATTCCCAAGAAGTTCGGGACGCTTTCTTAGCCCTTTTACTCCAATACAGGGTAAAAGGATAGCACTCAGCACCTAGGAAACTCGGTCTACCAAGAGCCTGCACCCTAGTTTCTCCTACACTGAGAAATATCTCGGTCCATATGCAGTCTTTCCACTGACATCCTACACATTGCCCTGCACTGGAACACCCCAGTGTGAGGCCAGGGATCCCCACAAGGCTCCACACTCTCCTCCTCCAGGAGACCGGAACAGGCAGCAGACAGTGGGCGCTACTCTCTGGTCTCTGTAAGAAGTGCTGGCACCTGGAACTAGAGCTAGGCTTGCCACCCTAGTCTTACCACATGGGGCAATAAATCAAGTTATCTAGGCAGAGCAAAAGCCGTTTGGAAAGAGTGCCTACCTTTCTACCTACCTTTCCTAGGGACCCGAGGACCAAAGTGGGCTGGGGAGGGAACTGAGGGGGAAGCGGCCAAGTCCCAAGTCCCAGCTGGCGGCCGGGGTTATCTTTTCCTTGCCCAACTTCTCATCCCAGAAGCGCAGTGTCAGCGTTCAGCATCCCCTTCCCACCCCATCCTCAATTTCCGGGTCTGTCCCGGGCTTTCAGACGCTCCGGGAACTCTCCACACCCGTTGCCACAGATGCGGCCGGCTTCAGGACCGAGGGCCGTCTCCAGGTCGGCTCGGTGGGAAGGTGAACAGGCAGGAGCGCCGGACACTCAGCCGCCCCTGTGGCTTAGGAGGTGGCTGCTCCAGAGCCCGAGGCTCCGGATGTGCGAAATGGCTCCAGGAGCCCCTGGGGCGGGCCAGAGCCTCGGCCAAGGGAAGGATCGAGGCGATGGCGGCGCCGGGTCCTCACCCCTCTAGCCAGCCGAACACGCCCCGGCGGCCCGGCCGGCCCTGGCTCCCGGCCAGTGGCTTTCTCTCTTTTTTAAACTTTCCGGCCTTGGCGATAACTGCCAATCGGGGCAGGATTTCCAGCCCCCGCCTTCCCTCCTCCACCTTCTCCGTGTAGGCCCTTCCAACCTCCAGGGAGACGACCCCCGGCCCCGCCAGACCATCCCCAATCCCCGCCACTTGGGCCACCTGGAGAAAGCTTCCGGAAGAGATCGGCGTCGGGCCGAGTCTGGGGCTGGTCCGGGGAGGACGTCCCGCAGTTTCCAACGGTCCGAACCTGACCGCGGCGTCGCGCGCGGGTGCAGAGCCGCCCCCTGTTATAGAACTCTCAGAAAGACCTGAGGGTTGGGGGGCGGTTAAAGGCCTGCCTTTACAAAAATTTTTAACGCTTCAGATGCAAGAATTTTGCATGTCCTTGGGCATGGCTGTGAGCGCTCAGGTAGAACAATAGAAATGAGGGGTGCCGGAAACGGTTCATGAAGACCCCTATAGCACTATAAACCTCTCTCCCCCCTAGCAGTTACTATTAGCATTAAAAGACCCCAGTGCCTTCAATGCAATAGTGCCGGTTTATAACTTTTTCCCCGCTGGGTCCCCATACCCTAAACAAGCCCCCTCCTCACATTTTGAAATCACCAGAGGAAAGACAGCTCCCAACCCTCTGAGGTTCCAAAGCTTCTCACCTGGTCTGCCCCTGGCACCCTGACCTGACTCACCCCCATCCCCCCAGGAGTTTCTCCGGTTTGCACCTAGACAATAAATTTAGTTTAATTTAGCTTCCGGTCTTTAATTTTAGCAGGTCTCCTTTTTGCATGCAAATCAATATGGCAATTACCATCTAAAAGCTCGCCCAGCCCCGGGTCAATGTAAATTGATCATTGTCCGCCTTCCACAAAATAACACCGGGAGTCTGTGGTGCATAATGAGATTATACTGGAAACTGTCTTTTAGATCACAAATTATATTTTATGCTGTCAGGATCTTCTCCTAGCGGACTTCCCCGCTAATCACGGGGCGCCGGAGCCCGTGGGTGCTGAGGGGCAATGGTTGGCGGAGGAGACAAGGCTCTAAGGAGTAACTAAGTGCGGGGGCTCCCCCCTGCCATTTCCAAGATCCTCTACTGGGGGCAGGTGGAAATGAGCCTGTAATGGGAAAGAGGGCCTTCTACCAAAACGTTGCGGGAAAAGCTCGTTCTTTAATTCTCATCCAACAAAAAGTCAGCTATCCCTTGCGGAGAAACACATGGGGGGCAACCAGCCTGAGCCGTCGGTCCTGGGCTGAGGGTTGGTAGACGTCCCCGACCAAGTGCTCGGGACACAGGAGGCTGGGCGGCCCCGGGGGCGGCGTGAGACCTTCCACTCCTACCCCGGCTGTTACTCAAGTGGGCGCCACCACCTAGGCCCCGGCAGTGCAGCCAGCCTTGCAAACAGACGGAATCTTGCCGGCCGGACTTTCGGGCGAAGCAGCCCAGGCGGGCTGGGGCGGGCCTCGGCCTCCCCTCCCCAAACTGGGCGAGGCACCGTCAGGCCCGAACCGTGTGAGCAGACGGCTGGAGACCTCCGAGCCAGGAGAACGTCCTTTCTCGCGGAGAGCAAGGCCCTCCCGCCCCGGCGCGGCCCCCGGGCCACGGGTGTGACCCTGGAGCCTAACAAAGGGCCTTCAGAGCTCCTTTCGGCCTCGGACTAGCGGGGGAGGGGTGGGACCCGCGGGGAGGGGGCGGTGCGGCGGCCCAAGTGTACCGGCGCGCCCCCTGCCCCGCCGCGCCGAGTCGGCCGAGCCCGGCGCCCTCGAGGAAACCACTGAGGTGGCTTGATCGAGGCCGCTGGGCACTCCCCAGGACCATTCAGGGGTTCGGGCGGCTCGGCAGCCGGCGAGCCTCTCGCCCAGCCCCGCGGCGCGGCCCTGCCCCGCCCGACCCAGCGCGGGCTCCACCCGAGTGCGGTCTTCCCAATAAAAGCTGGAATTCCCGGCTGGGCTCAGACAAAGAGGGACCGCGGCAAATCGACGCCGCGGGCAAACCAAACCCAAGCCTAGTTTACGTGCACGTCTGGGGTCACAGAGGCGCCTGCTAATCCTCCCTACCGAGCAGGCCGTCCCCGCAAGGTCTCCTCCGGGAAAAGAAAAAAAAAAAAAAAAAGCATACCTCCCCTTGATTTCGCCCAGAGGCCGAACTTCGCACTTCTTTCGGTTCTCTAGACCCTGTGCACCAACCTTACAAACAGGACTTAGAGCAGCCCGGCATCCCTTCCTCCCCAGCCAGGAGCGCAACGCTTACTCCTCCGTCTTCTTCCACCATCCATCCTCTCAAGGTCAAGAACTCAAAAATCTTCGAAATCCTCCAACCTGATCAAGACATACCTTCTTACTCACTCTAGACGGGAGGAAACTAGAACCAGAAGCAATCTTAGCGACTGAGGACCATCCACCCTTAGCTAGGCGCCTCTGCCCTCAGTTTCCCTCTAGCCAAAGACACGTTATTTCTCAGTGAATGAGTGTGTGAATGTGGTTGTGTGGCGCACACTTCCGTGCCCTGGTCGGTCTCCCTGGGCAGGAAAAGTCTCCGTCAGGCATTGAGGAGTTTTTGTCATTCAGCCTGTGTATCTAAGCGTGGATGTGTGCATATGAATGCTTTTTGTGTTTCCAAGTGACCCTCTTCACACCTTTAAATGGGCTTTTGTCTCTGGAACGAACTTACAGAAATTCTGCCCCAGTTTCCAGCTCAACAAAGTCTGGGATTTTCTCTCCTAGAATCTCACTCTAGGTCCCAGTATTTGCATATCCATGTTTACATTCCTCTTGGCCAGTTCTTTATCTTTTCTGTATCTCTTGTTCCATGTGGGTATCGGAGCCCAAGTGTCTTGATTTGTCTCAGCACATGTCATTCAGGCACACATCTTAATCTGTGCATTCCTGTCTAACACGTACACCTCCCCACGACTTACATTCTTGCTTTGCCTATAATGTGGCTCATTCCAACCAGACCAATGTTGGTTTGTAGTTTAAACGTAGCTAGAGGATTCCCCTAAGATTACAATCCCTAAAAGGGAGACGAAGGGGGAAGGAGAGGAGTGTGACTAATGATTCATTTTTATATAGAGTAACCTACCCACCAATTGTCTACCTCTGCAAAAACTAGACCAATGCCTTCGAGTTGTATTAAAATTTTAGACCAATTCAATGTTGAGTCCCCTGTATGTGGCCATACATACACTGTACACATCACTGTCCAATTCCTGTTTGGACGCTGTCTCCCTGCACATATCTGATCTGAACTCTCCACAAGTTCATGGTTAAAAGTGTATCTACACAGACAACTCGAGGACCCTTTTGCTCTCTCCCATGCATACCTGTACACAAGGGCCGGGCATTTCAGACTTGGGTCGGCAGCAGTTTCCGCCAAAGGCCCCACCCCACCAAAGCTCAGAGCAGACCTTTCCACACCGGGCCGCTGGGAACATTGAGATCTAACCTCTGCATCTCCCAAACTCACTTCCTTAAGTGAGGGGTGCCCATTGTGTGTGTTCACACCTCCCCCATTAAGAAGTACCGGGTCAAATTAGATCACCTAGCAGCTGCGTCTGGTTCGTCGAAGAATCGAGCCGGATGCACCAGGATGTCAGCGTGCAAACACAGAACAGAAAAAGACAAACCCTGGGTCCAGATTCCCGCCCCCTCCAACCTGGAGGCTACTTTGCCTCCAGGAATTTCTACTAGACTCCCCACCCTGACTCTCCCCATTGCCATTAAAGGGTTAAGAGAAATCCTCGCAGCCTTCCCTTCACCCTTGGTCGCTGGGCCCGCAGGGTGGCTCGCTCACTCGCGGCTCACGGGAGTCTGCCGCCGCCTCCGCGGCCCGCCCCCCCTTCCGTCCTTCAGCCGGGAGGGAGCCTGCATGCCTGTCTAGACCGATCTATCACAGGCACACCAACAACACCCGCGAGAGCGCCGAGACCCTGCCCGGGTCCCCCCTGCCCGCACGGCTTCCCGGCGGACCGAACCCTGGAGCGTGACCGCACCGGCGGCGGGGTGGGGGTGGGAGCCTCCGGGCGCGGGCTGCCCCGAGCGCACCGCGCGGCCGCCCCGGCCCCCAGCGCTCCCGCCAGCCCGGCTGCCGGGGCACAGTCACAGCTCTGCGCGCTGGGCAGTCCTATTTTTATCTTGTCTAATCCCAAACTGGGCGGGGAGCACAGGCGTCGTGCTTAGAGAACAAGAGATAGGCGAGGGAGGCGGGGAGGAGCAGCCAGGCAGCGACGCGAGCGGGAGTGAGTTAAAGACACAGTCGAGGCGACCGAGAGCAGGAAGAAAAAACGGGCTGCGCGGGGCCTCAGGGCGCCGCACGCAACACGCCGCCGGCGAAGTTACACTCGCCTCCCCGCCGCCCCTCGCCGCCAGTCCTTCCCCACTTCCCAGCGGCGCTCCCCGCAGCCCCGGCCGCGGGGCCCCGGCCTGTGTGGGAGGCAGAGGCCCGGACGGCCCTGCAAAGAGCTGGAGAGAATCGCTAATGAGCTGTGCGGCCCATTGATCCGGAGAACACTTCCTAATTAACTCTCAGTCACCTACTGGTGACAGCGCCTCAAAGGACAGCGCTGGGGCCGTCCAAGCTCCAGCCCCGACCTGCCCGCCGAGCGCCTGGCGCCCGAACTCCGCGCGCTCCCCTCACTACCTCGAGGCAATCCCGGTGAGTGGCTGCTTCAACCCGCATACTTGAGGCCGGCCTCGGATTAAACCTGGACGGCATATTCACCACCACCATCTCCACCCTTCCTCCACGCGGTGAAATCATGGCCCAAATAAACACGAGAACCACCACTGCAAAGCCCAGACCACATAACAGATCGGGGGTGGAGTGGGAAGGGTCGCTAAGCAAACGTACTCTCCAAGTGTTCACGTACAGGAGTCTCGGAGGCCGACACTTAAAATGCCTTCCACACAAGCAATTCTGTTGGCAAAACCGAATCCAACACCTCGTAAGGATTGATTTCGGCCCGCGGTGTCCGTTTCCAGTGCCACAGGAAGTGTCAGATGGCTAGAAATACTCAAGTCTGTCTGCGTTCACCACCCACCACCTTCTGGGGTGGGCCATTTCCTCCGCTTTTTTATTCCCAAGTCATTTAAAAGATTTTTCTCCAGGAGGCTACCCTAGAACCAAATAGCACTACCCCATCTCTGGCCTTCTCTCAAAAAAAGAAAAAAAAAAAACAGCTAAAACCCTGAGCAGTCTAGTCTAGACACAGGAGGCTCTACGGATACCTATTTGAAGCGCGCTGGTTTCTTTTTAAGGTTTGTTTTTAAATACACATAACCCTCCCCCTCTCCTTCGCTCTTCCATTCCCCCAACCCCCACCCTTCAGACGCCGGCGGTGCGCGTCCTCGCGCGCGTGCACTCACTAGCTGAAGATCGCGGACTTTCTGGGAAAGATTCATTAACAGCAAATTAAGCCTCGCCCGGCCTCGGCCTACACGAGGCCAGGCTCATCCGTCTCAGGGACTGGGGGACGTGCCCACTCGAGAGTGCAGGCGGCGGGAAGCCCACCGGGACCAAGCGTGCCTCGAGCCGCCCTACTCCGCACACGACGCCCCAGGGCTTGCTTGGTAAACAGCCGGCGCACGTCGCCGCCGCCCCGAGCCCCCGAGTTGGCGGAGGCTCTGCAGCGCAGCCGCCCGCCTGCTCCGAGCGCGGGCCCCGCGGCGAGGAGGCGCTTCGCCCTCCCCGCCTCGGCGGAGGATCGCGCCGGGTGCGCAAGTTCCTCCTCGCCCTCAGCCTCCGCGCCGCACGCCCTCCGAGCGGGACCAACTTCCTCCGGCCACAGACTTGCACACGCCCTACAGGGCTTCCCACCACACTCGTAGCTGCCCAGGTCTAGCCCCCACCCCCCCGCCCTCCCTTCCCGCCGCCGCCCCCGCACGATCTACCCTCTCCCCTGGGGACTCACAACTTGAAACCAACCCTGCGACGTCGCGGGGAGGGTGGGAGTGGACCAGGGTCGGAGATTAAAATTTTAAAAGAACATTTACAAAACAAAGCGTCTGACCTGGCGGGCGGGTGGACGGGCCGAGTCGGAACCCCTCGCTCTGCTCGATTTCCTAGTATTTTTTTTTTTAATCCACGTGATTCGCGCTTTGGAGCAAGCCAAAAAAAAAAAAAAACCGGGACTCCCCTCCCGAGTTGCACGGCGGCGGCGGCGGCAGCAGGTCGAGCTCGGCTCGGCCCGGGGCGCCCGCCACACACACCCTGCGCACGCACACGCCGTCGTTCCACGAGCAGGAACGAGCGGCCCCCGGAGAGGCGAGACGAGGCAGCGGCGGCTGGGGGTTTTTACAGTTCTTTCCCGAGTCGAAAAAGAAAGCAGACGGGAACCCGCCGCCCTCCCCTTCCTGCTAGCGAGCTAACGCCGAGCCGAGCTTCCCAGCTTCCAGCCCAGCTCCCCCCCGCCGCCCCCCCCCCCCGCGCCCGACTCGCGGCGCTCAGCGACGACCGCGCTCCCGCGCACACAGGCACACACTGGCTGCAAACTTCCACTCCGTGAACTCCCCGCTCTCCTCCCAGCCCCCCGGGAGGCGGCAGCCCCCCCCCCCGCCACTCCCCTCCCTCCCTGGAGCCCACTTGGGGCCGCTTAGGTTGGCTGCATTTTTAATAACTTATAGCTAAGAAATAAAAATGAAAGCGAGCAAAGCAGCCAAAGTGAAACGCGACGCACAAGCTTCGAGGGGGTACGCGAGAGAGTCAAAAGAAGCCACCCGCCGCGGGAGGGGGCCCCCGAGGGAGGGGGCCGACTGCAGCCCGCCGCCCGCCCGCACGCTCGCCTGCCCGGCCTCCCCCGGGGAAAGGTGTTCCGGGCACTGACCTGAAATCCCCGGCCGGGGAGTAAGCAGAGAGCCCGCGATCCGGCGCTTTGAAGTTTTTCCCCGGAGCAGAGTCGAGGCGGCGAGGAGGAGAAAGGGGCGATGGGGTGGATGGGAACTGGTGTGCGGGGTTGGAGGAAAGTGGGGTGGCGACGTTGGCGACGGGAGAAGGAGCCGGGCCGGGGAAGCGCGGCGAGCAGCAAAGTTTGCCGTCCCCGGCTGCCCGCAGCCCGCTCGCGGCGCCGCGCTCGCTCGCCTCCCTCGCCGTCTGCTGCCAGCCGGCTGCCCTCGGGGTCGGCCCCGCCGAGGGGTGGGCTCTGGGCCGGGTGGGGGCGGGGCGGGGCGGGGCGGGCTCAAAGCCTCCGGGCAGGTGGCGACAACCCCGCGCGATCCTCGGGGCTCCGGCGGCTGGGCCGGGCTCGGTCGGGCTCAGCAGCTCCCGCGCCGCCGCTGCTGCCGCCCGCGCTCGGGCAGGAGCCCCAGCGCCATGTTGACGGTTCGCCGCGAGCGCCCGCTCGGGCTGGGTGTGTGTGAGTGTGTGTGTGTTGGGCAAGTCGTCCCTGCGCGGCGACAGCGCGGCTTGGGCTCCCCGCCCGGCGGCTCGCGGGCTCCCCCTCCGCCGCCGCCTCGTTCCCGCTCTCGGTCGCGGCTCCGGCGCGTCTCCCCCGCAGCCGCCGAGCTCGGTCCGCGTTCAGCGAGGAGCGTAGCTCTGCTCACCTTGCCGCTGGGAGCCTGGGCTCCGTCTGCCGCCGCACGCCGCGATCCCAACGCGTCCCCCCTCCCTGGTTCCCTCCTCTTCCTCCTCCCCCTCCCTCCGCCCTCTCGCCCGCCCTCCTTCCCTCCCTCCCTCCCAGCAGCCGCCTCCCCTCCCCCCGCAGGCGCAGCGCTCGGGCGACAGCCGCCCGCCCGCCCGCCCGCCCGCCGCCGCCTCCAGCTCTCGCAAGTTTGAGCTCCCCCAGCCTCCGCTCACCCTCCGCTGCGGTGCCTCGGCGGTGGGGTTTCGGAGGGGTGATTCCCCAGGAAAGGTTTGCCCGAGTTTCCCCAGCCGTCATCGATCCTCGGCGCGTTTCGCTTCTCTGGGTCCGAACCCCAGACCACTTGGGTGGCGCCCCCCCCCCGCCCCTTGCCCTCCCCTCCGCCGCTCGGACCGAGTTGGCTGCGCACACCCCGCCCGGGCGCGCGTCCTGGGCGAACCGGAGACCGACTCGGGCGGCGGCGGTGCGGGCGGCCCGCTGATCCTGAGCCGAGGGGATGGGGGCGGCGGGGGCGGCTCTCCCAGCCGCGCGCCGAGACTCCCCTCGCTACCCAGAAGGCCAGTGGAGGACCGCAATTACCATAAAGCGCCTCGCACTCCGCTCAGCCAAAGCTGTCAAACCCCAGCGGCAGCCGCCGCTGCCTCCTCTCGCCACCAGCTCTGCGCTCTCCCGGTCGCGCGTCCCCTCCGAGACCCAGCGGAGCCTGGCGGGTGCGCGTCGGTGCCCATCCCCACCTTGGGTCGCCCCTTCCTCCCGGAGGAAGCCCCTTCCCATTTCGGTGTCAAGAACTACCTTTAGACACCACCCTGAGCAACGGTGGCCGTTCCGCCCGAACTCTGCGCCCGAGTTCCCCGGACGTTTCGATTGTGTGGGAATTGTCTGGAGAGGCGGGGTACGGAGGAGGCAGCCCGCGGGGCACCAGGAGGCGGGGGTGGGGGCGGTAGGGGAGCGGAGATCCGCCAGAATTTCTCCCCATTCTCGTGCATTTCACAGTCTGCATCTCAGATGATTGGAGGGTCTGTCCTGGCCCCTCACCCCTGCCTCGGGAGATTATCTCCCGCGTTTTATTTTCCTTGGCAGGGAGCAACTTTTGGCTTACACCGTTCGCTCCATAAATTTCCAGTCGGTAACGTCGTGCTGATCGGAGCTCGGCGGCGGCGTACAGCCTGCGCCCGCAGCAGTTCAATTCAATTGACACGTATTGAGCTTCTCCAGCGCGCCCGGCGCGGCGCTGGGCGCGCGGGCGGGGGTGGTGGGTAGGGTGGGGGCAGGCAGGCGAGAGGGGGAAGCGGAGAGGCGAGGTTCCGGCCTCCCCGGAGCGCTGAGCCTCTAGGGCGAGCTGAGAAGCCCCAGTTCGAGAAGCGGGCGGGAAGGGATGGGAGAGGGGGGAGGGGTGTTCCGGCCTAACCGCACCCAGACCGCGGGCCCGGACGTCACCGCAATAGGTGACCCCACTCGGTTAAAGGATAGGGTCTTTTTATGCTGAAGGTGGGGGAGTCTCTCTGCCTAAGGACAAGATGGTGCAAGCTCGATGAGAACATCAATCTGAAATGGAGGTGGCTTGTAAATCCACACGGAAAGTTTTAAAATATCCTGGAGTGTCTCCATACCAAAAATAATCAAAAGCATCTCAAGTTGATTACTAAGTCAAGGTCAAGGCCAAAATCAGCTCTAGCTAGTAGACCCCTTTTAAAAAATTAGACTTAATCCTGACTGTAGGATTGGTGTTAGATGCGATTTTATTTCTTCTGTTTTAGTTCTCAGTACATAGTTATAAAAACAGCTCTTTTCAAAGCAGAAGTGAAACATCTCTACCGTTTGAAACCTGAAACTTCGGGCAGAATTAAATCTTCATGCTCCAGAGCTGCTTAAAACAACTGATGCAAAAGACGGGCAGGCAAGTGCCCCAGTGAGCAGTCCCCAGGCCTGCGGGGCTGCCACCGCTTCCAGGACTTGCGCCTGCATGATAGAATGTATGCCTTTTTCTTCCCCGTCTTTCTGGAGGTGGATGTCTCTGAAAGCGAACCCACACATTTTTTTAATCTCTGGTAACAAGCAGAAAGACACCTGGACTATTATGCTGTAAAGCTATTTTTTATAAAGACATTTTAGGGCCAGACATTAAAAGTTATTAGACTGAACGCATGCAAGTTACAGACACAGCTGGAGAAAAGGCCTCTGGTTGTGTGTTGTAGCAACATTTCTTTTTGAAGCGACTCTTTTTATTCAAAACAAGTCTAAAATAACCAGGAAGGCTGAAGTTGGGTATTTGTGGGGAAACTCTCTGAATGCGGTTCAGAGGCCACAAGGAGGCAAGGAGGCCGCTGTGCCACTGTGGGCCTCGAGGGAGAGCTGGCCTGGGCGAGTTCGGAGCCGTGCCAGCCTCTTCCGGCTCAGTTAGGCTGCCGCAGAGACCCTGGCCCCTTGCCCGGCCACCTTCTCTCCCCTTCCCATGCCTCCCCAACTCTCCCCCCCAGGCAGGGGCCTTTCCCAGAGTTAAAAGTTGCATGTAAGCGTCCAGAACTTTTGGAAAATCCAGGAACCGAGTGAAAACATGGAGCCTGCAGCCTCTCTCAGTCCTGTGGCCTCCCGGGGCTGCTGACAAAGGGGCCTGTTTGTCTACCTTTAAAAGTCCTAGAGTTAAAAATGAATTGGGGAGGGGGGCGGTGCTGTAAATGCGAAGGGGCCAGAGAAGGGCTGACTGTGGGAGAAATTTGATGCTGGAGACAAACAGACCAGTAAATTTGCCTTTGACGTAATTTGCAGCATTCACACACACACACACACACACCCTTTTTAAGGAGTCTTGCCTCCATGGTATCTTTGTGCAAGTTGGTGGGATTAAAGGGTTTCTCTTCCATCTCTGAGGGATACATTTCCAACTCTGTGGGATTTTTAAAATATCTTATTAAGGGAGTCCTAAGAGGTATGAATGTATGTGTGAGGGGGAGGGGATTCATGACTCACTGGGAATTAAAAGGTGAGATTTTTCCTGAGGTGCTCTAAGGTGGAGGAGGAGTAGGGAGCTTACACCTATTGGCCCGATTCATTGGCATTGTTCCAGGGAGGAGAAGCAGTCCCATCTTGCACCCCCACTCAGGAAGGGGCTCTGGGAGCTGGGGACACTGCGGAGCCTGCAGCATGTGCGGGCCTCCTCCTGCTCCCTCCCTCCCCTGCCCTCCCAGGAGTCCCTTGGGAGCTGACCTGGGGGTCAGGCTGCTACACTCTGCACTCAGCAAGGGGAGGATTTCAATGAAAGCAGAGGAGGCGGCGGTGGCGGGAGAGAGCCAGCGAGTGAGCGCAAGGGAGGGGAGGCCGCAAAGGCAGTGGAGAAATAAATAGGCTCAGAAAGGGGAGGTGCTTCCAACCGAGCTGCAGGGGCCACCCCCTCCCACCTGCCGCTGGTCCCCTGGGAAGGGCCTCCCAGTTAGAACCTATGGCTCTCGGGCACTCTCCTGCTGCCCATTCTATCCAGCGTCTGCAACTGGACAAGCAGATTGGCGCTTCGAGGAGCAGGCCTGGAGCCTGGTCGCCCTTTCCCTGCCAGGTTGATTGTGTAAGGCCCACCAGGTCCTCTTCCACACCTTCATTCACCGTCCAAGGCCTAGGGGAAAGGCCATGCATCCCATAGTGAGGGTCCTACATGGAGTTTGGGGGACCCTGGGATCCCAGCATGATGTGTGGGGTTTGTTTGTAACATACATGTGGGGACTAAATTATAAAGCTTTATAGGCCCCAATGGGGCTCTTCAGCGGCTGTTCTCTTCTATGATGCTGGGTACTGAAATGGGTGGGATTGGGGTGATTACAGAGAATGTATTTTTATTTTATATACTGTGAGCTACTTTGTTAAGTGTTTTTAAAAATACACAAACACCCCCAGGAACAGTCTTTCCTGGTCACTTTGTAAAAGAACTCTGGGCTTACCACCGGTTCCACTTAGAAGATCCACTGGTCCATCCCTCAAGCAAAAGGCATCTTTTCCCCAGGGATTTCGGTTAACTGGAAACATCTAAAGGTAGCTGCCTTCCCTGGTAGGAGTCTGCTAGACTTAGGAGTCTCAAGGTTGAAGATGGCTGCTCTATTCTTTGAAGGGTTATTGGGCCTCCTCCGGAGGACGGTCAGGAAGGCAGGCCCAACATGGTAGCAGCAACTGCCTCTCAAAATTTCTGGTCTGGGCTCGATTTCAGGCTCTGACCAGGCACGAGTGGGTGAACTACCGTTGACACCGAGGGGATTTCTGAGTAGATGGGTGTTGGCGGCTTGGGGAGGCCTCGTCTTGCGCCTCACCTGGTTCCGGCTTAAGAGACCTGAAAGCCGCCGAGCTGGGCTAGATGCTCCTGTAGATAAACTCGGACGCCACGTCCCGCCCTGGCTGCTTATTTAGCGAGGCCCCTCCAGCTCATATTTTACACAGCCGGGGGCAGTGAGTGGGAACCGCGGGGGAGAGGGGGCGGAGAACACCAACTCTTCGCTCGCAGACCCTGCAAGGCGGCTTTCGGCCCGAGACGTTTTCTCGGCAGCTTCCCTCCACGGCGGCCGCGGGACCCCGCGGACACGCACCACCCCGAACCCTTTCGCGGACAGCACCCCGGGGACTGGAGGGATCCGGAAGGCTCCGCCAGCCCCTCGCTCGGGGCCGGAAGGGAGTACGTACGGCCCAGCAGATGGAAACGCTGGCCTGTCCCCAAGTACCTCTGGGCCCCCACAAAGTCGGGCAGCGAGGTGAGTGGAGCGGGGCAGCTGCCTAGGGAAGGTCAGCCAGGAACAAAACTTGGGGCTAGCGCAGGGCGGGGGGATTCCAAACGGCCTAATCCGCGGCACTTCCCCCACCCCTCCCCCGGTTTCCCCTCCGGGTCCACTCGGCTCGGCCTTCGCCCTCGATGCGCGCCCCCCCATCCCCGCACCCCAGGGTCTCCAGCACTTTGGCCACCGCACAGCCCCTGGCCGCGAGTGCGGGGTGGGGGGGCGCTGGGTGGTTTGTGTTGCGAGGCCTGACAGAACCTTCTGTGTGCGGCGCTCGGAGGAGGCTAATGCATAATGCACAGCGCCTGGAAGCCCGGCCATTAGCGGCCTGTCGGTGACACAGACAAACGACTGAGAGGGAGGAGATCTAGCTCGCTCTGGAGTTTAAATATACCAGCGTGGAGGGGAAACGCCATGATTTAAAAGTGTGTGTTTGCAGACACTCGCATATATTTTAATGATTTCCAGCAGGCCATGCATCCCAGCCTCGCATCCCCCTCCCTCAAACGGGGATGTGTGCGGGGTGGAGGGGAGGAAAAGGCTGGGGGGGAACGAAGGCAGAATGAGAGGCCTCAACCCAAGACCCACCGTTAGCTTTTGAGAGATGAAGGGAAGGTGAGGTTGGTAAATGCAGGGCGGAGAAAGCGAGGCCTAGGGAAGCCACACGACCCAAGGCCATACCCAGATTTTTTTTTTTTTTAATCTGGCCATCGAGCTTTCCACCCCGGACTGGACCTTTTCTGCGTTGTACTAGAAAGGCCTGGGGGAAAGAATAAACCCTGCTACCCTGGCTTCCCCCAAGGTGTCCACATTTTTGAATCTTCCCTTTCCACTGACAATCCTGAGACCTCCTTCCTCCCCGTTTAACACACCAGTGTTTTTTAGCAATTAAGGCGAGAAGGGGGTGGGGATAAAGATAAGCCAATTTTTTTTTTCCGCCATGCAAGTGTGAAAGATAAGATAAGGCTAAGCTGAGGCAAAGCGGCTGCTTACAACCTCCCCTCAGCGATTTTGATCGGTCACTTCTTATCTCGCAAAAATGCTCCTTTCGAAAACTGCATCAAAAAAAGAAAAAGGCTGAAGGAAAGCATTTTCATTTGGAAGTGACATTTAAAACCCACCTCCTCTACACCAGCAACCCCCTCCTCATCTGCGGGACTCCCCAGGAAAAGTCGCACCTCGACTACAGGGTTTCAGGCTTTCTTGTGGGGGGCAGGATTACTAGTGTAATTAGGCTGAATAAAACCAGGGATGCGTGATCAGAAATTATCCTGCCTCCAACCCCAAGCTCGCAGCCGAGTTTTCCTTCTCTGAGTTCCTGATCGGTGTTTGTGTTTCACCGTCTCGCTCGTGTGTTGAAACTAAACAGGTAGTTATATTTGGGAGGGTCATATAACTATGTCAACACGAAGCAGTTGTTAATGCGAAATAATAAGAAACTCTGCTGATTTTTACAGGCCCCTGTAAAGGAAGAAAAAGGCGTCATGAGCCTCGGAACCTGAGAACCCTCAGCCGAACCGGACTCTCGAGGAGCCTTATAAAATCCTTTTCTCGCACAAAAATCTCACCAAGGGGTTTCCGTAAGACTTTGTTGAGGGAGGTTTCGGTATTGAACTCCAGGCCTGCAGAGCGGCCTGTAAATTTCCCCCAGCCCAGCCGCTGGCCAGATCGCAAACATCAAGGCAGGCACCCCAGGCCGAGCTGACGAGCCTCTGCCCCCACCTCCGGCTTAGAGCTCCCGAGATCCCACCTCTTCACCCCTCATCCCGAGTTCGCACCTCGGCGCTGGGCGCACACTGAGTCGGCCCCCTCCGGGCGCGACCTAAAGCCCGAGGCTAGCCGCGGCCGGATAGTCCCTGGGGAGTCGAAACCGCCGGGCGGGGAAACCCCTCCTCTCGTCCTTCCCCGAAAAGCCTGGCCGCGGCGTAGGCGCCGAGCGAGCGGGCATCCGCTGACAGCCGGGCCTCACGTAAGGCCCACACGCGTCCCATTAGTCAGCCTGAGTTCCCCTCGGGCGAGCCGTCTGGCGCGGCCCCAAGGCCCGGCGCGGGCGGGGAGGGGGTGCGGGGCCGCGGCGAGCTGGCAGCGGGGCGGGGGCGCGGGCTCTGCGGGGCCCGGCCGGGCTCGGTTCCGCGTTCTTGGGCCCACGGGTAAGCTGAGCCGGCGGGGCAGGCCGCTCCCTGGCTGGCGCCGAGGCGCCGAACTGCGCTTCACGTGCCCGCCATATCAGCGGCGGCGGCGGCGAGGAGCGGGGGCAGGGAGGCGCGCCGCAGCTCCCGCGGGGTCTCCGGCCCCCGCCTTCCCCGCCCTGCCGGGGGCCGGGTCGGGACCACCTCGCAGCCCCCATCCCCGCGCCGGCCAGACGCAGAGAGGTTCCTAGGGCGCCGTTCCGAAAGCTGCGCGGCGGCGACAGCCAGAGGAGGGTGCTCCTCGCGGCCGCCCCGGGAACTTCCCAGCCGCCCCGCCGCCGCCGCAGTCACCGGGACCGGAAGCCCTTGCGCCGCCCCAAGCGGCCTCCGCTGGCCCCCAGGGCTGTTCCAGACGGGGGCTGGTCGCGCGTCACCTTCGATCCCTCCTGGTCTCAGGTGGCCGCCCTCGCCCTGGGGCATCCCCATTTAAACCCGGAGGACCCTGCTCGCGGTCCAGCGAGACCTTTCTCTATTACCACCATCAGCGCGGCTCCCCCCGCAGCTGGGACGGGAGGGGCGCGGAGCCGCCACTCCGGCCGGGCAGGAACACCTGCTCCCGGGCCCTGCAGCTGGGCGCGTGGTGCCGGGAGAGGCTGCCTACTGTTGTGTGCAGAGATCGCGGGGGAGAAAATGGGGCTCCGAAGCTCAGGGCCAGGCGCAGCCGCGCCCCGGCCGACCCCATCTCCCATCCTTTCTGTGCGATCAGGCCCGAAGCTCGGGGACTGGGGTCTTCCTGAGGGTCGAAGGGCCGCCAACCGTGGGATCCGGCTTCTGGCCTTAAGAGGTCGTTCGCAAGACAGATGGGGCAAAACCTGTTTTGGGAGCCATCCCGGTGTCCGCCCCCGCTCTCCAAACCAGACACACTCATCTCCCCTCAGCCCTCACTCTAGCTTCCAGCGGGGGACCAGAGTAGGTCATGGCGGCACTGGTACAGGGTTCGGACTTTGCTACTCCGCGTGGAGAGGGCCGATGGACCCTCCCCATCTCCTCCGTGCCCGGAGGAGATCGGGCAGCCGAGATGACCTGCGCCGCTTGCCCTGCCTCACCCCTCCTCCCCCGTCCCGCCCTCCCCGGCGCTCCTGGCCCAGGGCCCGGCCGAGGAAGGCGTTGTTTTGCCAGCGGGAGCCGAGCGAGTGCGCAGAGAAAAGCCTCCCTGCTCTAATGAGAGTGCACACAGCGCTGCGGCGAGGAGGATGATTACCCGGCGGGCGGGGGGGGCGCGGGCCCGGGCCGCGGGCGGCGTGTGCGGCGGCCCCGCGGGCCCGGAGTCCCCGCCTGTCTGGCTGCTAATCGCACGCTTTCTGCTGTTACGGAGGCAGGCGGGAGCCGGCGGCCGAGCCCAGCGCCGGCGACTCGGCGGGTGACACGGAAACATGGCGCAGCGCCCCTCCCCCGCCCGCCCTCCCCGCGCTCCCGCCTCCCGCCTCCCGCCTCGCACTTCCTCCCGCCCGCGCGGCTTTTGCAGTTCTAATGCTCTGCTGTCCGCCCGGCACCATTACGCTAGCAGCCGCTTCTCGGCCGCCCCGCGCGTCTCTTTCCCCTTTGTTTTCGGGGTCTATAGAAAACGTTTGCTTTTGTCCTGAGCTCTCGTTAAACCAAACTTGTGGTGGCAACGGAAGGCGGTGCGGGCGGGGAGGGGCCCGGGGATTTTGGCAGCAGCCGACCAGAGCGTGGTGGAAACTTCTCTCGCTGGGTTCCCCACCACCCCGCCTTCCACCCTCCCCTCTCACACACAGGCCTGTCGGCCTGCCGACGCTTCCCCCCTTCTCCCCCGAGAGGCCTCTGCGCTCCAGGAAGGAAGTCTGGGGTAGAGGGACTATGACCAGGGGTGAAGACCCTAGGGTGCATGTCTGTGGGCCCTGAGTTTGGGCCACTCGGTGACCTCGCTCCTTGAAGCCCTGACTTGCCTCTCCCTCCCTTTGGTCATTCTGGGCTTTGTATCAGCCGGTGGAGAAGGAAGAGGAGGGAAGAGAAGAAAGTGGTTCACGTGTGTGGTTTTTATATTAAGGGTTTGTTGGAATCTCTCATCTCCAACTGTATAGCCTCTTTTATAGGATCTACGGTGAGAAGGGGGAACGTGGGGCCCATGGGGGAAAGGGTCAGAAACCTAGGCCTGGGAGCTAGATCTTACTTTACTGGTCGGCTCAGCTACAGTCGGTTCGCAAGCGGGGGGTGGCCTGTAGAGTGGGGGAAGGACACCCCGCAGAGTGGGGGGAAGGACGGGAGGGTAAGATCCCTCGATCCAGGAGAGGCCAAACCTCCCTCCCGGGGGCTAGAGCGCAGGTCCCCTCGGCGCGCTCCCCAGCCCAGAGCGCACGCCGTGGCTCCGCACCGGAGCTGCCCAGGCGGCAGTTTTTTAAGCCTGCAATTAAGCGAGGCGTCGCCGTGTCCTCTGCTAGTGTCGATCCTGTCAGTCGCACATGGCCTTGGTGCTCCGGTCCGAGGCCCCGCGATTAGTCACAGGCTCGCTTCGCTCCTTCCCTAATCCGCCTCTGCAGGCAGCCTGGGGACGCGGCCGACTTGGCGGCGCTGGCAGGGAGCCACTGCGCGCGGGGCGGGCTGCCTGGCCAGTACCAGCCCCGCTGCGCCCGAGCCGGCGCGGGTCCCGGGGTGCGGGCTTGGCATTCCCTCCCTGCTTCACAGCCCCCAGGCTGGGGCGACGGCGCCCCTCCTCCTCTCGCCCCACTCCGGGGCCTGCGAGATCTATTTGTGTGGTGTCATTTGCATAAAAATAGGACAAGTGTTTCAGTGCGTTCGAACGCGGGAGGCGAAATCCTTATTGATGTGTCTGTGTGGAGCCCTCGGTTGTCGGAGCGGTTTGATTTAGGGTGTTTGTGTTGCCTTGTGCGAGAAATGAGAGGAAATCCTACGCAACGCCATCGGCGGCCCGGGCCCCCCAGAGCATCCTCCTCTGCGCTCCCGGAACGGTCCACCGCCTGGACCCCGGCGCCCCGAGTCCACAGCGAGCAGGTTGAAGGCCAGGCGGGGGACCCATTATGACTCAAAACCGGGCGGCCTAATCACCAGCTGCCAACCCGTTTACGTGTGGAGCTTCCCAATGCTCCCTTAGTCCGGCCTGGGCCTCCAGCAGGTTTCGCCCCGGACACGGCTAGAGCCACTCAGTGGGGGCTGATCAAGTGGTTGCTCATTCCCGTCGGTAGCGCGGCTTCCCTTCCCGGGCGACCCCCGCGCTCCCGGCCTTTGCTGCTCGCCAGCAACTCCTCAGCTTGGACAAATAGCTGGGAGGGCGCCGGCCGCGCGGAGCCAGTAAATCAATCATTAACTCCCCGGCGAGGCCTGGCCAGGGGAGGGAGTGGTGGGCCAGAGCCTAGTCCGCGGGGCCAGAAGGAGGCCTCCACCCCGGGTTGGGAGCCGTCCACGCGCCAGCGGGCAGGGTGCGTGAAAGTGGGTCCCCCCGGGGCCTCCCGATCCCCCCCAGAAGCCTCCGCCTGCCAGGCCTTTCAAGCCCGCACCTGGTCTCGCCGGGCAGGTCGGGTTACTGTGCGGCCCCCGAGCGGGCTGAAACATTAACGAGCCGCCCCGGGCCTCGCGGCCTGCTCTCCCCTGGAGAGCCTGCTGTGCTTGGGCAAGCTCCTCGGATCCGGTCGTGCTCCTCCAGACACCGGCTTGCCAAACCAAACCGATCGCCCTCGTGTCGATTAGTCTCCCTGCGGCGCCCTCCCCACGGAGCCCACCGTGGGGGCAGCACGCAGGGGGTTAAAACCTCCGGTTCGCCCTGGCTCCTCGGCTGCGTTGAGGAAACGCTGATCAGAGTGCTTGCGGGGAAGGAAACACACGCACATTCGGGCCTGGGTCGAAGAAGGGCGACTGGAGAGACTGCTCGGGAGCCGCCTACCTCGTCCCGCTTTCCCAGACTCCCGGGAACGCGGCAGCGGCGGCCCGCGCGATTCTCTCTGCGGAGCTCGGCGCGGCGGGGCCGGGAGGCCGGCGAGGAAGGGGGGGAAGAAAGAGGGGGGCGGGAGGCGAGCCCGGGCTGCGCGCCAAGAGGCCCAGAGCCGCAGATTAGTCACCGCTCGGCTGGGCGCTCACGGGTGCGCCCGGGAACCGGGAGGGCAGGCGGCGGCCCCGCTCCGCCGGGCTCCCGGGGGCTCGGCGCCGCGGCGCGGGTGCCCCTGCCCCCACCCTCGCGCGCCCCCGGCGCGACGGGATGGACTCTCGGGGGCTCGCGCTGCGGAGATCCACTTGTCAGTTCAAGGGCAGGACAGAAACTCTGCAAGCGGAGTCTTGCGAACAGGAAATTTCTCATTGACAAGGTGCTGCCCCTCCCCCACGCCCGGCTTCAAAACAAAACAAAAACCCGGCGCGAGCGGCCAACGCACCCAGCCCGGGCCCGCCGTGGCCTGCGCCCCCTCAGCCGCCTGGGCGACCCCTGCGGCTCGGCCCCGGTCCGAGGACCGGAGAGCTCGCCGAGCCCCGAGCCCCGGGCCCCGAGCGCAGGCGGCAGCCAACAAACAGGCCCGGCGGGCAGGTTGGGCTCGGGTCCCGCCCGGGGCGCCCAGCTGTCATGCTCCGGGGCCCCGGCAAGGCCGGGCGGGGGCGCAGGACCCGGGAGGCTCCGTGCCTTCTCGGGTTATGAACCCGGCGGAACGGCTTCGCGGAGCTGGAGGCTGCCGGGT